GGGGCCAGGCATGGGGGACTCCTGACACAGGGCTGTAATAGGGCACAGGCCCAGTGGGACCAGCTCCCTGAGACCTACAGACATTGTCCAGCCCTCTGTCCCCTCCCCCCCTTCTTTTTTTTTGTTTTTTGGGATGCTTAAAAGACAAAAGTCTTAAAGTGCTAATTATTAAGCATTAAAGAACACACAAGCACACGGGCCACACGGTGACAACAGCCTTAGGGGACAATGCAGTGAATTCCGGGGGGAGGGCCGGAGTCTTGGCACCTCACAGGCAGGAGCCAGGACAAAGCACTGGTCTGGGTACACCCATGCCAGGCACCCACCCACAGCCTCTCAGCCCACCTGGTGCTCCCAGGACGGCACTCTTCCACCTGCTCCACATGCCGGAGGCACATGTGCCTGCTCAAACACAGGAATGCACGTTCACACCCCTGCACACATGCAAACGCATACTGTGTTCACGTGTCTGTGTGCAAGCACACCCATAGTCATGCCCCGTGTGTGAGAACAGGTGTGTGCAAACACACTAACACGCTCATGGTTCCACCCTGGTGTCGTCAAGAGAGCCTCCCTGTCCAGGGACCAGCCTGCCACCCCCCAGCCCTACCTATGTGCCCCACAGGCTTTGGGTCCATGGTAAACAAGACCTTCAGGCACGTGCTGAAGCTGACTGACAACGCCAGCCAGTTCCAGACCGAGGTCGGGAAGCAGCTCATCTCTGGAAACCTGGACGCCCCTGAGGGTGGGCTGGACGCCATGATGCAGGTCGCGGCCTGCCCGGTAAGGCTGCTGCCCCTTCATGGGTCTGCAGTTTCCCCGACGTGGGTGCTTCCATCAAGTGCTGCAGGGCCACCCACACTAGCCAGTGGGTCATCTTAGGAACAGGCACCCAGGTCCCTCGCCACACCTGTGGCATTGCCAACCTGGACCTGGGGAGAGCAGCCCCAGGTGCCTCCCAGGTGGGAAAGCTGGACAGCAAGGGAGGAGGATGGCAACAGGGCCCAGAACATCAC